GAGTGATGTGAGGATTTTTGAAAAACAGCACCCCAATTTATAGGCAATGCAAGTCTTTTTGTGCAAGAAAACTCCTACAAGATAGGACCTAAATTTTCTCAAAAAATATTCCCCCCTTTAATAGATAAATTTTGCTCAACAATATGGAATAAAGAAGAAGAAAAACCCGGCCTCATATATATAGACAAGGATAGAGTCCTAAAACTTAGGTAAGCATAATCCTCTTTGGACACAAATTAGGAAAATTCATCCCTACTTATTAGAGATAAAATTTTCGACTGCCCTACTACTAATAGGACTCAAAATACACGGCCACACACATGCACAAGTGTATTAGAAGACTCAAAAATTTTCAGATTAGGATAAGACTTCCTTATCTCAATAGTTTTCGAAAATAGACTCACTTTAAAACTCTAATTATAATCTCACTGAAATTATAATTTAACACATGCAAAAATTAGTATTTAAATCCAAGTAGGACTCAAATAAAACACACAATAAAATTGTATTACAATTAGGAAACAAAGGCAGCAAATTTTCGGCCAATGTGAACACAAAAATCCAAAACCGAATAGGACTCAAATCATAACACAATTTGGACTCAATGACCTTAATTTTAGAGCTAAAATTTTCGGCCATGTGAACACAATAATCCAAGACCGAATAGGTCTCCAAGTGTAACACAAATAGACAACCAAAATTCAAGTTCAACTAGGACTAGGAAACCCTAATTTTTAGCTTCACAATTTCGGCTATACTATGACTCTAAAATTCAAAACCAACTAGGCTTAGAATTCCACATAAATCAGACGCACACACATGCAAAAAGTCAGCAAAATTTCGGCTATTAACCTTTTACCACATAGTTAAAATTTGAAAAATTACTTTTGACTCACTTAAAAAGGAAACTTGAAAATCACCACTTTCCAAAAATGGACAACAACTTTTAGAATCTTTCGAAAAACCCTTTTCCAAATTGTACTTGGAATTAACAAAAATCATTTTTTACCAAAACAATCTATGACAAATAAAGTAACAAGAACACCATAAGTATAATGAAGTAGGAAATTAAAGTTCCTCATTCAACTATGACATTTGCTTCATAATACTCAATTTAACATAAATCATTCTTAAAACTCAATGACTCAACAATGCCATCTTCATAAGTGACCATTTGAAAATCAAATTTTCCAAAGACCAAATATGTAAACTTCAAGAATATATCTCAAAGCCTATAAGATTTGTTGTCATAAATAAGAAAATCCTTTTAGTAAACTTCACTTAATTCCCGATTCAATGTTCGAAATTCAAGGTTTTAAACACAAGTTAAAGACTTTAACCCTTAAAGTTGGCACAATTCAACTTCAAAGACCTTTAAAAACTTTGATACCAAAATTGATATCACTAAAATTCATTCCTCATCACATGATAAAGAAAGTTTTGAAACTCAAGTTAAGAATCATGGAAAGTCCAATGATAGGAAGATCCACTAATTCGACTCAATCTCAAAGTATAAAACTCGAGAAAACAAAAGACCAACATTTGTAACTTCTGAAAAATCTTTTGATACTAAGATTTAAACAAAAACAAAATAATCAACAAAAATTCGGGTCTCTATGAAATTCTCATTAATTGAAAATCCATAAATTCCATTTTACTGATTAGATTCAAATGAAACCATCAAATGAAACCAACAAGAAGGAAGGCTTTTTCATTTATACTTTATGTAGAAAGTACAAAATCATTAAGCTTCACCTTTCAAAGAATAGATCCAAGATATTTACCACAAGATAAACTCTTAAACCCTCCTCATGTAAAGACATCTCTTTAGAAAGAAAAGGCTATCTCGAGCAAGAAGCTCTTCTTTGGCATCAATTCTCTCCTTAAAGATTCAACACATAAGATCCACTAACTTGCTCATAGGAGAAACAGTTCTCTACTTGCAAATCAAGGATAAATTTCAAGATGTAGTGCCCACTTTGACTAGATACCAATGTACCATCATCAAGCTCTCGCATAGACCCCAAAATAACACCACAAGACCAAACAATGTGTAAGAAGTCTCGCACAACCACACAAAAGACAAGATCAATTTTGAAAACGTAGTTTTCACAAGAATTTGATTTATCTTTTTCAAAACCCATTTTGCAACAAGAAGGAACCTTGAAACAAATAAAGATAGTACTACTCGTTAGTAGCACAAAGCTTGATTACCACACCAAGTAACGGATTCCGTGGCAACTCAAGATATTCTCAAAACCAAGAACTATGAAGTCCTCAATCAAAAAGAAATCTCTCAAAAATCAAACTGATAATAGAAACTGATATGATAATATCAATTAATACCATCACTAAGATAGTCCAAGCTCTGATACCAAGAAACTGATAGCAATCTCGTAGACGAAGCAAATTTCGTTAATGCAACCATCAACAAGAAAGTACGAAGATAATTTTGTCTATCCCGTGAAACTCAAAAGAGTGCGGAAAATTCACAGTAAGACGATCGTTTATCTAAGTGGTTCTATCCCTTAACTCCCAAGCAAAGAACACATTATCCATGAAAGATTCGAATTAAACAACAACCCACGATAAGAATAGTGAGGACACCATTCAATATACTCGATCAGTCATCATTCAAGAGACTCAAGAAAGGTAGGAGCAAACAATGCTCAACTATGAGGGAATAGTATTGATTAGTAATCTTCATAACCAACCAAAGATATGCAACACATACACTATCTCAAAATGCTTATGCCAAAGCACAACTCATCCAACAAAAGTAGGACAAACCCCACAATGGAACTCATGAACACACTCATCATGAAATTCGAACACCAAGCCAAAAGAAAGGCTCATCAATCGAACTACTAGAAGTAGTATGAAAATAAGAACTTTTGTTTTAAAACAATTATATCAAGAAGCATATTTGAAAAAGAACGGTTTCTGCAAGATCAAAAAAATCCAAGACAAGATGAAAACCCTTTTGGTTAAATCATACTTGACACAAAAAATGGACACTCCATTTAACAAAAATTACTCACAGGAAAAACTCTCAAAAGAGACAACAAAAATGACCACTCAAGGGTGCTTTGAAATTTCGGCCAAGCCCCCTATTTATAGGCTTAGGAATTCGGCCAGCACCTAAAGAAGAAGATCAATTAGGACTCTCTAATCTTATCTCAAAGGAGTAGAAGTAGAAGAGTATTTGATCTCTTTGACTTTATCTAAAATCTAAGAAACTTTATGTGAATGACTTATCCTCAATTAGGATAATATCTAGAAGGAATCTAAGACTCCTAATCAAAATACTCTAGCTTTATTCAGCCCACATGGCTTATCTAACTAGATAAAATTTCGAAAATAACTCCTAGACTTAGACTAACTCTAATTCTCGAAAATCAGCTCCCAAATATTGAAGTAAAATGTCTTGAACGCCCTTCCAAAACTGGAATATTGGTCTTGCACCCCTTAAGTTGTAGAAAACTCCAATTTACTCCAAAACTTGTAGAATTCTCTTTATTGACTCCAAAAGATTGGAAAAACACTTGAAACAATTAAGATAGTTTGCAACCTATCCAATTGTGTAGCAATGGACTCAATCTTGAACACTTTGATCAAATAGGTCGTCCATTCAAGAACCTAAATGACTCTTGTCACTAGCTTGATCAATGATCTTCATGGAGCACACAGAGTCAAACTCTCTTGATACTCTTCAGCACTTATTTCCATGAGGTCATCATCTCCTTTGGTTTGAACCCCAAAGTTAATGACATTCTCATCATCTTGATCATAGCTCTCTTTAACCAACTCCCTATCACATAGGTAGTCAAGATCCATCTTGTCTTCCTTGATTGGCCTGCAAAGTAAACTTGGCATTCCAAAATTAGAATGAAGTCAATTCATTCCCCTCACTAGGAGAATCACCATAGAAGGCTACATGATTCTCATCAGACATTAGTTTTCTACATCATGGACATTAGTTTTCTCTCTCCTTTTCTGTTTTTGCTCACCGGTTGGATCAAAAGACGGTTTTGCATTGGGCAGGAACAGACGAGTAGAAAAAGCTGGAGTTTTTGAGAAATTTTAGAACCCACCACAAATTCCAATTGTGACCATTGAATTTTTTAAAGTTTGAAAGGAAGCTGACTGATATTTGCCGCCACAATCCTAATCATTCCAAGTCATGTAGAATAATTACAGACGGACACCCTAATAATTTCATATTGGCACCCTTAACATTTTTGGGTCATTTCACACCAACAGAAATGTACGTCATTTCAATTGCATCCTTTTAAGTAATGTGGCAAGAAAAAATTGAATATCAAATTTCCCCTTTCTATAAATATTTTTTATCTGGCAATGTAGTCCGACTTTGTCTTAGTTTTGTGTTTACGATCGGATTATCTATTTATGTTAATTTATTATTAAATTATTGAAAGGGAACGTGTGTAAGTATCTAACGTTAATTATCTTGTTGATATCATGGTATGCATAGCGATCATTTATGTATCAGTTAATTTACCCATACGTATCATGAAGATTATGCTAAATGTTCATATTCTTTTCTTGAAACATTCATGAATAATAATGATCATATTCTCTTTCAAGAAACAATGATCATATTCTTTTTTAAAAAACAATGATCATATCCTTTCCTCAAAATATTCATATCAATTTAATAATAACAAATCCAAAAGTGTGAAGTAAATTACTACAAGTCCAATACTCCATGTTCACACAATATTCAAACTACGTTAACTAGCAACTTTCTTACTATTCTTCCTAACTTACCTTTATGGAGACATTAATGGATCATTGAACAAATTCATCAATTTTGGTCTCGATTTGTTAGACGAACAAATTTTCAATTTATATTATTAAATGACACTAATTGTGTTTTGTTTTTGTTTGTTTTAATTTTTATTGCGGGTCAAATAATTACACTTTTCAGTTTCCAGCTTCATTCGTTCAATCAATTCGTTAACCGTCCCATTCTTCAATTAATCTACAACCTTCAAAAATGAAATATCCGTATGTACTATGTATCACCAACTACCACATATATATGATGCACCCTTAATCCCCAGTTTTTTTATTCCCTTGTCTCTTCATAATAATTTGTTACCTACGAAGTGTTAAATTATATCATCTCCCACCTTTTATATTATTGCGCCCGTGCTTAATCCTAGCAATATTTCCATTGAAATGTCCAAACAATCACTATTCACATGTAACACCGAACAATCAATACGAAAAAAATATGAAATTTCTGGAATAAAAAATGAGATATTAACCGATGCATTATTACGAGTTACCATGTGTACGCAAACTACTTATTTGAATCACGGGATAAAGACTTGGTTATTGGATTACAAATGAAAGCCAAGTCAGAAGGAATTACATGCTCAAAATCCAGAGCAGCACTTTGTCCCTCAAACTTCCTTATAATAACCAATTGCCTCATTTGCACAAACTCCTCGTGCTGTGCAATGACATCGTACAAAACAATCTTCCACTCTTCATTTGCCAAATATGCATCAACAAACATCTTCAACTCATCCACCGGGTCCAAACATTCAAAAAAAAGAGAAACTTCTCTGTGGCACTCCATGCACCAATTTCGATTGCACTTTCCTTGTTGATGCTGGTATTCTTCATGTGTTTTTTTTCTATGTTGTTGATCCATCCCAAACCGTTCTCAAATGAAAATATGGAAAACTCTATGAATCAAAATATATATGTATGGATGGGCAAATTATGCTCAAGTGCACGCTCTGTTTTAGGCTCCTTTGTGCCGATTGCCTTATATTTATAGTCAGGAGACGGGATCGACATATCAATCATGCTCGTGACTATTTTGCCCATGTTTGGCACCCGTAACTGAATCAGAATTATTTGTCATGATCCCCTTCACGAGCAGCAATTTGCTGCTTCATTTTTTCCAGTTTTTTTTGTGCTAATTTTTGTTTGTTTTTAATATTTTTTTCTTTTCCAAATGATAACAAGACTATTATGTACGTTTTTTATTCAATAAGATTAAGATTAAATAGTCAATTATGTGTGTATCATTAAATATTGTAAGAAAAAATCTACCTCTGTTTTATGTTTGCTTCACGTTCCTTTATAATATTGTAAAGGAAATTGAGTACACACTAGAGATGGGTGCCCACACATGATGTTATAGCAAAACATCAATTTGGTGTAGGAGTTGCTGAAATCGCTCCCTATTATTAATTTATTATAAATAAATAATAAACACATGTCACCCTGGAATAAAAACAAATTATACTTGTGATCATATTAATTCTATAATTCCAAAATAGAAAATAAATATTTTGGTTATTATATAATACTACAAAAAAATTCCCAAAATAGAAAAAATGGGATATGAAAGGGGTTGAAACAATTTAAAAGAAAATAAACGGGGTTGTGAAACCAAAAGAGAAAAGGATAAAGAGAGAGAGAATGCTTGGATTTGCAGCTCTGCGCACTCCATTGGTTGCCCCACATAATTCATCTGACTGTTGACCACTACTCAAATTATACCATTGAATGGAGATGCTAAGTTCCTATTGAATAAATATATAACCTATGTTTATGGCTGGATATTCGAAGTGGTAAGATGGCGTGGTGGAGCCAGTAATAGTCTCAAATACCTACATATGGATGTCCCACATTCGACTCACCGACTCTACTTTTTTTGGGGGATATACTACCATCCCCACCGGGACACACCAAATCACCATTTTTTATGTATAGTTTTAAACTACTATAATTTAGAATAATTTTTTTCCCTGTGTAAAGGTTATTCAAAAAAGGAAGTACAAAACATTAATTGGTGTATCTAGTATTCAATTTTGTCATTTTCAAAAGGGATCCCTTTTCAAAAAAAATAAGTTTTAATTTTGTCATTTTCAAGAAAATAAGTTTTCAATTTAATTTGTTGCTTATCCATTGCATATCAAGAGATACTCTGATTGATGTGTAGTACTTGAACATTGAAACGACCTGATGTAACCAGTCGTTTTACCACAGCAGTTACCCATCATGAAGACAACTAGGGAGAAGTTAAAAGGATAATGGTGGTTCCAGGTATTACGTATCCATTAATTGAGTTAGACGGTTCCTCTACCACAGGAAAAAAAATACTGGCAATAAAAGGAATTATCAGTTCATTATATCCTTTGTAATAGCAAATAGAGTTTGCCTCCATTTCTTCTGACAGTTGAAAAATGGACCAAACAGAAAATATGGAAAGCAATGATGGATTGTACATTGATGAAAATGTGCTTAGTGATATTTTCAGTAGATTAGATATTGAGTCCATTGGACGATTCCGTTGTGCGCGCAAGACTTGGGAAGAACTTCTTAAGCTGCCAAATCGTTACAAGAAAACGTGATATGTACTACAATAAAAGTACAGAGCACTTGCTGAACTTCACTCAGAGAAATATTGATATCGACGGAGATCGGATAAAGCCGGTACCAGTGGCAGAAAGGAGAATGATAATAATGCATACAACTACAACAGAAAGTTTAGAGTAACAGGAATTTGACCATTCGTCTGGAGAGGAGAAATGAGGAGGATGATATCCACAAGATTATGCCCATTACAACTTATTTGGTGTGCTTTTGCCTTGCACATGAAATCGAATTTCTTAACCCGACAACAAGACAGATTGCAACAGTTGAGTGGCCGAAGACTATAGACTCCCTTGAAAATTGTGCAAAGGCTTTTGGCACTCTGTTTCCCTCCAACTCTTGGATATATCTATGGATGTACCCTTCCGTTTGAGCCTTGTTCGCGGATAGATCAAGTGCATTGGAAAGCAGTGGACAAGGTGTGTCCCTTTCGAGTTAATGACAGAATTTGGTTGGACAGATATGTTTATTGGGTGATTGACAAGCCCCGCAGCGGTTTGGGACCAGAGTCTACGGAGTTGCTGGTTTCATTTGACACGGAGACGGAGACTTTTTAGGTAATTCATGCACCTCCAACTCCTATGTTTGTTACTGTTAGTTGTTTCCCTAGACTGAAGATCTTGGATTATCGAGGGATTATGTGCGTAACTGAGGAGAATTACATTTATATGAGAGATATGAAGTTTGAAATGTGGGCCTGGGAATCAAGTGAAGACAATTCAGAGAGTTGGAGATGGAGAAGGGTATTTGAAAACAAAAATTTCCCCGTTGCCGATCTAACAGTGTATCCTAGTACTTGTCCATACAATGGCGAATGGGTATATCCTGCCATCCTCTGCCACAAATCTTCTCCTACCAGAGAATTCATTTTGAAGGGCCTCGATGCATTCCATCTTCAATTGTATTGTCATGATAGCGAAGAGGTTAAAAATATTTGCCTCCCACTTGAGTTAGATCACAGTTATGTCATCGCAGCATGTTACTATTGGAGGATGTTGACATATTTGAGAATGTGATTATTATTGTTGTACCTGTTTTTCTAATGTTATTGTTTTGTTATTCGATTAAATCTATTTTTGGTATCAAAATTTAAATTAGTCACTTGTTATAAATTATTTATTCAATATAAATATTTCAAATATTGTTCCAAGGAATCGGATTTTTATAAGAATATATTAAAAAGAAGGGAAAATTAGCGCCAAAAAGTTGGAAAATATTACTGCCCCCAAAGTGGGGAAAAAATAGTAGCCAACAAGGTTCGAAATCAAGACCTCTTGAAAGGGAAAAAGACAAACAATTTACCACCGGACCACTTGCTCCTGTAGTTCATATTTGATACGACATTTATTCAAAAAAGTGATGGTTCGTATGTAATATAGATAATTCGATATTTTATTAATTAATAGAGTTAATTAATTTATGAATATAAATGTATCATTTAACAAGTATCATTAATAGAGTTAATCAATTTATTAAGTGTTTTATTTCGTATTAATAACCAAATGGAAAATGGAAAGGGCGACCCGTTTATGTTATACCTCGAAAACGACCCGGTTTAGACCCGCGAGATTTTTTAAGTCCCTTGAATCTGATGAACCCTGATCCCATTTTTCCTGTTGATTGACGACCCTTATGCACCTTCCATTCAATAAAAGAATGCTGACACCGTTTTCATGAACCCTAATTCCGCTTTACTTGGGCTTTGAAAATGATGTATGGTAAAAACGACGTCGTTTCAGCTATTACTTCAAAAATCAAAGGACTAAAAACCACTACATTTCAAGAAACAACAATTCAAGAACACCTGAGACTTTTAACGACCCTTATGAGACTTCCATTCATTAAAAGAACACTGACATCGTTTTTAGGAACCCTGATTCTGCTTTAGTTGGCCTTTTAAAATGGTTTATGATAAAAACGACGTCGTTTTAGCTATTACTTCAAAAACCAAAGGACTAAAAACCACTACATTTCAAGTATACAACAATTCAATAACACAACACAGTTTTAAAATCTGACTGCCTCCAAATATATAAGGTACATAACACAGTGTTCAAAAACCAAATTAAAGTAAAACAAGCATTAAGCAACATCACATGCCTTCCCAGGATTTTTTTTTAAAAAAATTACATGACAGTCAACCAGGAGTGGTAGAATAGGTGTCCTAGAGACCTTGGATTTCATCGAAACGTTTGATGGCTGCACACCTGTGAAGTATCCTCCCAACGATTCCAGTGGACGCGTAATCATCTTCTTGAGCAACCCAGGCATATAGGAAATCATTGTGAGTACCAGACCCTTCCCAATCCTGCTTCCCATGGTGATCATTCTTATAAGCCTGATGAAATGCAAGAGCATCCATTAATCCATCAAAACCTCTTCTAAAATGAACAATACCTATTCCCGAGTGGCCAGTTTCATCATCCCACAGTGGCTCCACTTTTGTCGGATTAAATCCTTCAAACAAATACTTTTCACGCAGAACCCTGCCACTCGGTCCAACAAATTTCCCACAATCGAGTTTTCTAGGCAGGTTAACAACAACAGCCATTGGAGGGTAAACAAAGCGGTCCTGTGGATTGTGAGATTGAAGGGGATCCACCAGTACTTCTGCATGAGGAACTGCCAATACTGGTATTTCCGCGCAATCATCTGCATGAGGGACGGGTGCGAGATCATCTTGTAAATATCTCGCCAATGCAAGATGATTCGCTCGCTTTTGCATAGAATTTTTCCCGAATGACCCACCCCATTTGCATGTTGTAGAATGTCAACGTATTCAAACTTGCTCCTTTTCTTACCTTTACAAAAACGGCAAGTAAATTTGTTCCCACGAACTCGAACTTCCTGACCTCTATTTCTAAAAGAATTATACAAAGTATCTGTTCGTTCATCAAGCTCTGACTCACTGAAATCATTATCATCTTCGGAGCTGGAGAGCGATCTTTTTGACATCTAAAAAGAAAATATTTGTTTAAGTACTCATAACCCCCCAAAAAAACAAAGGTATGAAACAAACATGAATGTCCCTTTCTCCCTTTTAAAAATTGTCTCATCTATATGAAAAAAGACATGATGGTCCTTTTATCACTGACTATTTGTCTGACAATGACGTTTGTTCCAAAACCTAATGAGGTGGTTTCAGGTTTCATCTGTTACAATACAATATACAATCCTGACCTTCCTCATATTTGGCAATAAACTACATTCCATATAACTAATAATAATAAGACAACTATATTAAAAAAAACAGTAGTAGTTACTTGATTAACAGTAACAATCTCCATTCCATATATCAAAAACGCCATTCGACATAATCAAAATAATGAATCAGACAACTATGTTTCAAAAAATAGTTTGTTTTACTAAACTGATTAACATTACTACATTAATATACGAACTGAGCAACTGCTAAGTATGACACTATAAATATAGAACTTTTCATTCCATCAAAAAATGCACCACCAGATCTCCTACTTCTCTTAAATCAACAAATATTTTTCAAATCCCAAACACCAATGTGGCAAATAGTTGGAGTATATAGTTCATTTTAATGGAATATTCGAATGCATAGTAATTATCGGGACCACAACATCTTACTACAACAAAAGAAAAGAATTATTGTCCCAGATCTACGTTAAAAAAATGCATAGAAACAAAAGTGAGAAGGATAAGAAAGGGATTTTTGCAAGTACCTTATTAGAATTGGGGTTTCTGGCCAGATATGGGAAAGGATAGTTGGAGATGCATCCCAGAAGGTTGACCTAAATCGACAAACAATTGGAAAAAGGAAAATAATGGTCCCTTTGTATTATATCCTCCAATTTATTGTGTGGTGAGAGATGAAGTGGAAGGACAAATTAAACGCACATTTTCACTTTTAAAAAGAAAAGGAAAATAAAACTATAAAAAAATAACTGCACCTTTCATATTGGCCTATTGGGATTTGGGGGACTAAAATGTACAGTTGTACACCACTTTGGCTACATGACCTGTCATTTGGAAGGAATTATTTGCCTGCTCATATATTTGTAGGTTTAAATCCCATTATCATTTCTGGCTTCTTGAAACAAAAAGAAAACCCCCTATATCTAAACAACATCTCCAGTCACATTTTAAATCACACGTCAAACAAATAACTAGTAACTGGTTGTCCACATAACTAAATCAAAAATTTAAATACTCCCGGGAAGTAGTTTCAGTACAATCATCCCAACCATATTGCTAGATGTTGCTGAAGAAAGCAAACCTAATGTTCAAATTACAGCCATCATGAGTGAAACAATACAATGATCCCAAGCATATTGCTACAATGTCTCTTTAAGTTCAGAGATTGGACATTCTGAATGCAACCATCTTACTATTTGGTATATTAGATGCTATGTCAAGAGTTAACTGCACAGGCTGGTCTCTTGGATCAGGTTGTCTTCAAAGAACTTCTTCCAGTTCCCGGATAATTCTTTCTAAACTATAGAACCACGAGTATCCGATGTGGTTGTTATCCGGAATTTTGCTACTTCCACTAGACCTTCAACCTTGCCAGCTTCTTTTGCCTTAAGTGCGTGGCGACGTACAAATTTGACCAAAATGTTCTGCACTCACCAATCGTTGATAAAATAATGTGTCACAACTCACAACTATAATCGTTACATAAATTAAAAAAAAAGACTCACCATTCGGTATCTGGCCTTGCGTGACAGACCAACACCAGTTTGAACCTATTGTCAGGGTTGTTCTCTAAGTTTTGTCCCGAATTCTCTCCCCCTGGCTCATCTGCTTTTCTATCACCGTCGCATCCCTATAAAATGAACGAAGAATCAGTTTAGCGCAGGATTACACCAATCCCTTGCAAAAATGCTAACTTCCAAAACCTACAAAACAACAAGATCAAAAGCATTGGACTGGTCATTTCGTGCCTGATCTTCTGCCTGTAGACCAATATCAATTGGAGAAGTTCCCGAGCTTCCTGCCCCCCCCCCCCACGGGAGATTGTGTCCACAACAACCTCCCTAAGTTTGTTGCTAAATCTCCTCGGACTGGATGTAGTAGGACCTAGATTCTTTTCACTGACCTTGCTACATCGGCCCATTTTCTTTCGAGTAGGGGGCAGCTTTGACAGTTACAACAAGACGAATGTAAAAACGCGTTAATAATTGTTTAACCATTCTCAATAAAAAGAACATGGTCAACCGTAAATGATACACCAGGGATACCATTTCCATTGCGGGCGATGCTTTGTTGGGGTCTTCACGGGGCTGTGATTTTACCACCGGTGCAATGACGGAGTTCCCTGCGTCCTCAGGTTGACGATTATTTTCCATTGCCTTCTGTCAACATTAGAAAACAACCAATTTTTTAGCTTTTGTCTAACTATTAATTTTTTCAACAACTGATGACAATCACATTACCTGTGCTTCTACGCATTCATGTACGAGGTGTTCAGAACAATCGCAAAATGAACATTTCATGCTTAACAGAGTACACTCCTCCCACTCTCCATGTTTAAACTCCCCATGACAGTGTTCACAAATCAATCCAGATTCTGAACACTGATCCCAAAAACTGCAAGTTTGTTCAAAATCATCAGGAACTAAGTTGAGTATCTCTACCGCTGGTTCATCAGGTGCAGTAATGACCTTCAATGATTCCTCATTCTGATCTTTCCTTTCATCCATATCTAAATTCCCCGAGCAGTCTGCACGTGGTTCAAGAGCACTGTCTGCTGCATCATCATGCTCTTCGTCAGAAGTTTCATTTGCTAACCAACATCATAATCCACTTCAACCCCAATTTTTTCAACTCCGCCATAATCAGATATAGAATAACCAGAATCAGACTCAGAAGCAGAAGCACCATCAGAATCACTTGAATATTCACTGTCATCATCGCCATAATTCAGATCCCCAATATCATACTCATCATGTCCACTATCATCAGCACAATCACCCTGTTCCTCGATGATGTTTGAACACTGGCCAATTAAAGGATCCGCGTCTCCTGGGCCAATCCTATATACATCTATCCCCCGCAGTCTCTGAACAGTACTGTCCCCCCAACATTGCTTTAACATCCTCGCATCCAAGTAAATGCTTATATCCAGAATGTTCAACCCTATTTCTATCCTTATAAAACAATCTGTGGGGTCTGTTGCCACTAACCCTATCAAAATATGACTTCAGGGATTCCACAGTAATATTGGGTTCATCTATGAAGTCAAAATAATTAACTCTGCCACCAACATACTTTAACTCTGAAGTCATCTAAAAACTTCCCCCATGGTGGATTTTGGCAGTTATTTGTTTCGCCTCCTCACCTATTAATAAACATTACTACATTCAGTTCATCGCAATCCAATATACACAGTAACTATAAATTAGGTTTACAGCCTTTCATAATGCAACTAAATCAAATAACATAACCATGTGTAAAAAAAAATACAAATCTATGCATCAATCTACTAAAAGAAGCAAAATTCATTAACTGGTTCGAAGCATATCAATCGAAAAAACTTACGGTATAGTGGGATATCTGGTTATTCAGGGTTCATATCGCAGACCCATTTAAGATCAATATCCACACCCCGCAACAAACCCACCATTCTTGAGTCTGAATTCATTCACGAACTGAAAGAGTTAATGGATTCCTTCACTTCATCTGGAACTCAAGTTTCTGCTAACAACCCTCGTTTGTCAATACGGTCGAAATTCTCTCTGTCCTCTTTGAGTCAAGGACAATTTTTAACTTTATGACAACTAAGTTGAACCAAGTCAACCAACTACTACATGTGTTTTAATGATAGCAATCCGTGACAAAACCAATCTTTAAGAAAAGATCAACTATGCTAATTCGGAAGGACAGAGATTTGTAGGCAGCGAAATTTGGAGAATTCGGATTTAAAGACTCAAAAACACACGAAAACAAAGAAAAGAAAAGATATTTGACCTCACGTGGATCAATTCACGAGTTCAATGGTAGAACAACCCAAATCAAGAATGAAAAGAGCTATTTCTAATCAAGTAGAGACCCTTTAGAAAATTGTGTAGGAAAACCCAATAGATATGAGATCTATGAGCTCAAATACCAAGATTCGAAAGATCCAATGCTAAAGACGCCACTATCAAGTGAACTAAACAAGATAGATAAGTCTAACAATTGTCACAACACATATGCAACAACTAAACAAATAAGTTCTCACAAGAACTCCACGAAAGGAATAAAATCCTAACCAATTTCACTCAGGAAAATTTCAATGACACAAGGTGTGTTGGACAAGAGAATTTCGGTCCATATATAGAGGGAGTGGCCGAAATTTCTTCCCAAGAAGTAGAGAAAGAACACAACTCTTCACCTCTATTCCTATCTCTAAGAATTTGAAGTGAAATCAAACTCTAAATTGCGTATCTAATAAGTTTTTTGAACCACCCTCTATTTAGTTTTTTGATTTTGCATTTTTTCTATTTTCTTTCTGAATTTCTTTTAGTTGCATCAAAATTGGGATTTGCTTGATTGTATGTGATAGAATCCAAATAGGGTTTGAAACCTATTTATTCGAACGTACTAACTTAGTTATCAAATCAAACCACATTGAGAGCCTCTACACGTGTCCTAGCTCGGCGGAGCGCTAGATTTGCTTCAATTATTTGTCTCTTTCCTTCAGCCTTTTTCAAATTAGCTTCCGCTATTTCAAGAGTTTCCTGAGCTTCTTGTGCATCAATGTCACTACCCTTCTCCGCATCATTTACTAAAATGGTTATGTCATTATTGCCTATTCTAGCAAAACTGCCCATCAGAGCCATTGTTAACCATTGGTCATTAAGACGTATTCTTAAAATACCTATATCTACAGCTGTCACAATAGGGGCATGATTGGGTAATACGCCAATTTGACCACTATTAGTAGATAGAATTATTTCTTTCACTTCGCATCCCAAACAATTCTATTAGGGTCAGTACACAAAGATTTAAGGTCATTTCTTCAAATTGTTCTCCATTTCTAGGTTCATAGCCTTCGCGGTAGCTTCATCGATATTACCTACTAAATAAAAGGCTTGTTCAGAAGACCATCTAACTCGCGGAAAGAATCAATTGAAATCCTCTAATTGTTTCGCTGACCAACATATTTCCTGGAGAGCCAAGAAATACTTCGCTACAAAGAAAGGTTGTGATAAGAAACGTTCAATTTTTCGCGCCCGCGCTACGATTAAACGATCCTCTTCGGATAATTCGTCTAACCCAAGGATAGCTATAATATCCTGAAGTTCTTCGTAACGTTGTAAGGTTTGTTTCACTTTTTGCGCGGTTTCATAATGTTCCTCACCAATGACCTGAGGTTGAAGCATAGTTGATGTTGAATCTAAAGGATCAACTGCTGGATAGATACCTTTGGTAGCTAATCCTCTTGATAGTACGGTAGTAGCATCTAAATGTGCAAATGTCGTAGCAGGCAGCAGGCACATAAACCGCTTGAATAGAAGTGATGGACCTCTCCTTGGTAGAAGTAATCCTTTGTTGTAAAGAACCCATTTCAGTACTCAGTGTCGGTTGGTAGCCCACGGCAGAAGGCATTCGACCCAATAAGGCCGAGATTTCGGACCCTGCTTGGACGAAACGGAATATATTGTCGATAACTAGAAGTACGTCTTGTTCATTAACATCTCGAAAATATTCGACCATAGTTAGGGCAGTCAAACCAACTCGCATACGAGCTCCTGGCGGTTCGTCCGTCTGACCGTAAACGAGAGCCACTTTTGATTCTGCAATATTTTCTTCATTAATCACTCCAAATTCTTTCATTTCCATGTAAAGATCATTTCCTTCACGAGTACGTTCGCCCACTCCTCCAAATACGGATACGCCACCATGCGCTTTGGCAATATTGTTAATCAATTCCATAATGAGTACTGTTTTACCCACCCCAGCTCCGCCAAATAGTCCTATTTTTCCACCACGGCGATAAGGGGCTAAAAGATCCACTACTTTAATTCCAGTTTCAAAAATGGATAATTTTGTATCTAACTGCATAAAGGCGGGCGCAGATCTATGAATCGGGGCTGTTGTACGGGTATCTACCGGACCTAAATTATCAACAGGCTCCCCAAGCACGTTGAAAATTCGTCCCGAGTTGCTCCCCTATTGGAACACTTAGAGGGGCCCCGTGCCAATCACTTCCATTCCTCTCGTTAGACCATCTGTGGCACTCATAGCTACAGCTCTAACTCGATTATTTCCTAATAATTGTTGTACTTCACAAGTTACATTAATTGGTTGACCAGCAATATCTTTACCTTTAACTACCAGGGCGTCATAAATATTAGGCATTTTGCTCAGCGGAAAGGCTACATCTAGTACTGGTCCGATGATTTGGACAATACGCCCCAGGTTTTTTTTGTCAAGCGCCGAAACCGCAGAACCAGAAGTAGTAGGATTTATTCTCATAATAATTAATAAAGAAAATATTTTTGCTAAAATTATCGAATTCAAACCAAAAACAAATAGGTGATAGCGAGTTGATCGGTTAATTCACTAAGCCATGAGAGTTAGCAACCCATTTGGTTGTTACCATTCAATCGAATCCAATTCAATTCTTTCAATAAAGAAACAATAAAAGAAACAATGAATTTGAAAAGTCAATCAACCTATTATTTCCAATTTTTAGAATCGCAAACAGATGAATAAGAATCTTGAGAAAGCCTTTCATTTGTTTATCATTATAGACAATCCCATCTATATTATCTATTCTATGGAATTCGAACCCGAGCTCTGTTTACATTACGATTCATTAATTTCTATCCGATTCAAAAAGGGTAAATTGGGTTGCGTTATATATATGAAAGGGTATACAATAATGATGTATTTGGCAAATCGTATGGTCTAATAATCAAACATTCGGATTAGTTGATAATTTATTTTAGTATTGGTTGGGAATTTTGCGAAAGATTCATGTGAAAAATTGCATTAACAACGAATTCGTGTCGAGTAGACCTTGTTGTTGTGAGAATTCTTAATTCATGAGTTGTAGAGAGGGATTTATGTCACCACAAACAGAGACTAAAGCAAGTGTTGGATTCAAAGCTGGTGTTAAAGAGTACAAATTAACTTATTATACTCCTGAATACGAAACCAAAGATACTGATATCTTGGCAGCATTCCGAGTAACTCCTCAACCCGGAGTTCCACCGGAAGAAGCAGGGGCCGTGGTAGCTGCCGAGTCTTCTACTGGTACATGGACAACTGTATGGACCGATGGACTTACCAGTCTTGACCGTTACAAAGGATGATGCTACCACATCGAGCCAGTTCCTGGAGAAGAAGATCAATTTATTGCTAATGTAGCTTACCCTTTAGATCTTTTTGAAGAAGGTTCTGTTACTAACATGTTTACCTTCATCGTAGGTAATGTATTTGGGTTCAAAGCCTTGCGCGCCCTACGTCTGGAAGATTTGCGAATTCCAATTGCTTATGTTAAAACCTTCGAAGGGCCGCCTCACGGTATTCAGGTCGAGAGAGATAAATTGAACAAGTATGGTCGTCCCCTATTGGGATGTACTATTAAACCTAAATTAGGATTATCTGCTAAAAACTACGGTAGAGCATGTTATGAATGACTTGATTTTACTAAAGATGATGAAAACGTGAACTCTCAACCATTTATGCGTTGGAGAGATCGTTTCTTATTTTGTGCCGAAGCCATTTCTAAATCGCAGGCTGAAACTGGTGAAATCAAAGGGCATTACTTGAATACTACTGCAGGTAACTGCGAAGAAATGATCAAAAGGGCTGTATTTGCTCGAGAATTGGGAGTTCCTATCATAATGCATGATTACTTAACAGGGGGATTCACTGCAAATACTAGCTTATCTCATTATTGCCGAGATAATGGATTACTTCTTCACATTCACCGTGCAATGCATGCAGTTATTATTAGGCAGAAGAATCATGGTATGCACTTCCGCGTACTAGCTAAAGCGTTACGTATGTCCGCGGAGATCATATTCACTCCGGTACTATAGTAGGTAAACTTGAAGGTGAAAGAGATATCACTTTGGGCTTTGTTGATTTATGCGCGATGAT